TTATAGGAATATCAGCAATCAGGTTATAGTGCAATGCAAAGATCACTCCAGGAGATGTAAACAGTGTAAATTTGTGGTTACTTCTACAGTCAGGTTACACTGCAAAGCAAAGACTGCTGCAAGATACAAAATACTGTACACCTGTAGCTACTTCAGAAGTACTATTATATTGCTTTGCGGTTACTTCTACAGTCAGGTTACACTGCAAAGCAAAGACTGCTGCAAGATACAAAATACTGTACACCTGTAGCTACTTCAGAAGTACTATTATATTGCTATGCGGTTACTTCTACAGTCAGGTTACACTGCAAAGCAAAGACTGCTGCAAGATACAAAATACTGTACACTTGTAGCTACTTCAGAAGTACTATTATATTGCTATGCAAGGGCTGCTCCAAGAGAAGGTGTAAGGGCGGCCACACAGCAACTTTGTCAACCAAGCATCAAGACATGAGATAAAAGACGCAGTCTTGCTTCATTCATGATTCGTCAGCATCATTACTCAGACCAGTATGCGGCAGTTTTTATCTCGTTCGTTTCAACTGTGCTCCTTTCTTTGCGTCATGTCGCAGACATCGGGTCTTGACTGTTACATGTCTTGACACATGCCACTGTGTGGCCTACCTAATGGTACAGCTATTTTCTGGTGGTAAGACAGAGCCTTGATACGTCACGGTTTGCAAAGCAGAAGTTGTAAAATACACGTTAGCAACATTGCATATAATCATATTTAACAGACTGATGACTGCTCTATAAGGGCTAGCACAGCCCACCCTTTAATTACGCAGTCAACAGCATAGTTTCACTAAACACCTAACTAGGATAAGTCTGGTTTTTCACATGCTACACATGCAATAGGAAAATACAGACCGCACTAACCCCAACCACAAACTGGAAAGTTCCCACGTCAGAGTACATAAGTAGTCAACTACACGAACAGTACTAAGATAGAAATGTAACAGCCATGAACTGCATGCCTATGTGTGCACTGTGTAAGATTCTTATTCACTCTCTTCCATAGAACAAAGGAAAAATCCATCTTCTAGTATGAACTTGAACAAGAAAAAGTAGGTAGAAAAATAGAAAAAAATAACTAAATAAAGAAAAACTTGGTATAGTACAAACTTATTTTAATGCCCACAAGTTATTTCTGAACAGGAACAATGTTCTAGCATAAATATGCATGAATCACATCCCCCCTTCAGTATAACAAACCTCTAGACTTTCCTAATCCTTCTAAATAATTCAATTCTAATAAGGATTCACTTTCTCTACGATCAGTCAATAACAAAAACGATTCATGTATCAATACTTTCGGTTTACTGCTGTATACAGCACAATTTCTGTAGTGAGTACTTCAAGTCACATGAAAGTTTATGCTGCCACAGCAGTTTGAAAAACATACAAGAAATCAGAATTTCCAACAAAAAATTTTACTCTATTTTAGTTTAATGTAAAACCAAAGTGCATTTTATTTAATAACAGAAGAGGTTATGACAATTTGCCTGTGACTTGAATATACATATGAGCGCACATACATATATATTTTGAACCTACATCCTGAAGAATGTCACCTTCATGTTTAACGACAGGCAATGGATTATGTTATCCTAACTATCAAATCTGTTGTGACAGCCAGGGAGGATCACATGCATGGCCAGCAAGATCCTGTGATTTAAACCCTTTGTACTGTCATCTCTGGGGCCATGAGGAGGGACCAGTCTATATACAAAGAACAAAGAGAAGAACAATGCTTCAGAGAATTTTAGGTGATCTATATATCTGAAAAAATCACATTTCTAAGAATGTAAACACTTCCATACTACACTGCACTGAAATGCACATTCAAGACACATTGAACAGTTTACAATATAGCAAGCTCAGATGTGCATTCAAGTCACAGGCTGACAATCTGAACAGTTTTGGCATCATGTTTCATTATTAATAACACTTGTTTTTGTTTTGTATTGAAGTGATACTGAATTCTCTTATCAAAAACCACTATTTCTGGTACAGTTTTATCTGACTTTAATACTGACCTGGCTCCTTAATGTTTTGCAAACTGGACCCATGTTAATGGGACTTCTCTTAGCAAAAATCAATCAGTTGGTAGACTCCACCTGAATATGTAAAACAAACTACCTTAACACAAAACTGGCTGCTGCTCTTTAAGTTTCTTTCAATATAAATGAAGAATTAATAATTTATATGCCTCTGGTTCAGGATGTAAGAGTTTAAATTAAGAAATTACATGAAAAAACATGGCATGTTTTGAACAGTTCATCAAATTTCAGCCTGTTCTGAAATCTGGCTGTTCAAATAATACACAGAGGAACTACACAGTAATGGAATCACAGCAAATTGTTTAGTCACATCACTTTATCTTAGTCTAAAATCAATGTGATAAACTTCAGTGTTCCACAGAAATCTACTCGCGAAAAGCAAGATGGGTGTGAGAAGTAAAGTAAAGGTATCCCTGTAACAGACCGTGCAGGACCATAGGGTTGTAAGATGTTGAGGTTCCCACATTTTCTAGACAATCAGCTCATAGATGGTGACAAGGTTGTCAGCCCTATGTGCCGGCTGCCCTTTACCCCCAAGAATATTCCTGGTACTCAATTCTGTTAGAGGCTGAGTTGACCCCAGGGCTATAGTGCGGCTGGAAGGGTTAGGTCAATTGAAAAAAAATCCAATGACCTCATCAGGACTTGAACCTGTGACATTCTGGCTGTAACATAGTGCCTCAACTAACTATGCTACCATGAAATTAAAAATTCAACAAGAAAGAAATGAAATGTTGCCACTGTACAGTGCAAATTTCCCAAAGAAACAACCCCCACCAAAACACATAAACCCAATAACCAGGCATGAAAACTGAAATTCTGTTAGCTTACTTTTGACATCGTCTTGTGGCTGTACCATACTATTTTCTGGAACTGCATCAGATTGCAGTTGCTGACAAGCAAGCCGAGGATTCCTCGATTGTACACCAGGAGTGACAGCAGTTACTCCTTGTGTTGGAACAGGACGGCAGCTGGTGCTTCATGATGATGACGGCGGCGGCGGCGGCGGTGGTGATGATGATGATGATGATGTAGCTGAAGTACTGTTACATCATAACTGGGGAAATTAAATTAAATTAAATCCCACTGTTCCCTACAGAAACCTTAAATAGAGACTTCCCTGTATACAGTGTCTAAGGACAGGAAAATTAGTAAATAATGAAACACAAAGGATGTGTACATTTATGGTCAGCTGCAGAGATACAAACAGCATTTTTCAAAGACATCCCAAATGTACAGTAATCTACCCCACAATGTTTGTTGGATGAAGCATACAGCTTCAAGAGTGAAGACAAATCAGATATAACAGATATACCTCTTAAAAATAAAAACTGCACAATTCATTTCAGCCTAATTAACAGGCAACAACTAACACCAAGTTGAAGGCTACACACCCATCAGTGTCCAGAGAGTTTCTTGTGTTCAGTTTATTTATTACTGAGGAATTGTACCCATACAAAGAAGTATATTCTCTTACCGCCCTTTTTCCTCACCTCCTTCCTTCTTCTCACGCTGGGTCGCCTCTAGTAGGTTCTTCTTTCTTGTTGCTAAATTTATCTCAGGGTTATTTTAAAGGAGGGGGTTTTGTTGGTTTGGTAGAGCTGAGTACCTCTTATCTCAGAGCCTTGAACGGGCCACAACTCAGAAAAGGAATAAATAACACAAATCACAAGCACATCTCAAGTTTGGACGAATTATATTGAACACTTGTTTAACCACTTTTGATACAGTTTCAATGTCAGTAACCTTTATGTCTAACTGCTTCGGAGCCCGGTGTGTAACTTTTTGCAGCTAATTCTACGACCCCGGTTTCCGAATTTACGTCTGTTTCTTTCAACTCCCGGTTTCCGAATTTATGTCTGTTTCTCACGGGTCCCCCTTTCCGACTTTACGTCTGTTTCTAATGAGTCCCCCTTTCCGACTTTACGTCTGTTTCTAACGAGTCCCCCTTTCCGACTGATGCTAAAACATGACGCTTCCTCAAATCTTCAATTCCTGCTTTCACCAGCGTCACTGCCCTGTCACACCCTTAAATTTTAGTGATTGGTTAATTTTGAAAAATAGGAGTATTTTAATTATACTCCACTCCGTTTAAGGCTTTCAAGGGTTTAAGGATTTTTGACTCCAACGTATTTCTGTCAGAAAGTGACAAATGCTTAAGCGTCGCTTGGGCCCTAAAAACTTCACTCTTTTTAAGTTATGGCATGCACAAACTGCCAAGTATTGAATTTACAAAAGATTTCTTTACTCTATTCTTTAACGCAACTTTCACTAATAAACCTTTGACGGGTGTCTTCCTGTTTCTTGTTGTAAGCTTGGGGAACGCTTACCCTTACATACAAAAATTGACCTATGTCTCACTACCCTTGTT